ATTTCCCTGATATTCACGGTAGCATTAGCAACACAAAACTTTACCAGGCAGCATGTAAGCTGATATTAAATTTTACCCCAGTATACCATTGGGCCACTTTGTGACTCATTTCTTCCTTAGGGTTTTTGTGTCAGTCTGTAGCCTTCTACGTTTTCTCCAAATATATCCGTTGCATTCTATCATTGCCAGTCATGAGAACTAGCAAGAAATAAGCACCAAGTTTGACAGGAATCAAAAGCACTATAAACATTGGTTCAAAATTGCTGCTGGGACAAACACATTGCTCTCATCATAGCTTTGAGTTAGCAATCTACTTAACATCTTTTCACATTTTGCCTGCACAACCCTTTAATAGTGCAGTCAAGAATGCCCAATTTACAAGATATAACCATAAGGTTTCTTTAATCATTCACCATAAGGAAAGTTCTTATTTATTGAACCATAAAAAATTGGTATTGGCTTATTCCTTTGATCATCCACCACTCACATACACATACATGGTTTGATACAGTATATATACTTATATTGATCACCTAGCTACAATTCAAGTACTGGAAACTTAACTGAGATGTGAGCCTGGATTTTATACCCATTCTAAAACTGAGTATAAATAAATTATGATTGGACAATGGGATTCCTGTATTATGCAGTTGGTCAATTTGCTTCTACATAATTTGTGCTTTTTTCATAAATTAAATAAATGTGTCTTATTTATATATTCAATGTAAAAATGTTCTAGAATTATATAACCTCTTTACATACATTTATATATCTATATATATTTAAGAATGAGAAAAGATTGTATCTATAGACATTGTAAAATAATTTACCCAATAATACCCTGCATTTGTATTGAATATAAACAGAACATTCTTCATGGATTCTTCACAGACACATAATGCATGAGTTCTTTAAGATTTGGAAATGCATACTATCATACTTGCTAGCAGTCATTTACAACATGTATTTACAAACACGTCTCTTTAAAGCTGTACCATAAAATAGTCCATAGTTAAACTTTACATTTGGAAAGGTCATCAGCACATTGCTCTGCAATATGTTGCAAACCCACCAATACTCTGAAAAAGTATTAAGCTCTGCTTCTGACCTCTGAACATTCAAAAACACCTTATTTGCTGGATTGTCGCTTTGCTTAACAATTTTTGTTAGCAATAAAGTTTCACAATGCATTTTGACAATGCATTTGGTTTTGCCTGAATGTTAAGGACAACATTATGTTTTCATGTTTCCTTTGTAATATGGCTGTTTCTGAATGTCATTACTTTGATTGGCTCTGAGTTCTTTTTACAAAGAACAAAGTCGCCTCTAGAAATTCTGAATGAAATTGTCTCTATTCTCAATGGAACTGCTCTCCTTTGACGTTCATATGGGCATTGCAGCCTAGATTAATAAAAGAAGTATTTTAAGGTCTGCTATATTTCTGTCCATTTTTACAAAAATACACTTATTTTTTTAACTTGCCAGTTTTGGAGTTTAGAATCTGCAGTGTTTTAAAGTCTGTTTTGAAATGTGGAAAAAGCAATATGATGCTGTGAGTTGAATCAACTAAGCAAAATGCATATTTCCTTGGTCTAAAATTTTAGATCAGTTTTCTACTACAAGCAACATTGCTAAATGCAGCATGTGATTACATAGGCACTCTTGATAATCAATGTGCTGTATATAAATCTTGAAATTCAGGTTTTTTATACAGAAATCTTTAGCTAGACATTACTACATGTGAAAATATATTAGCATATACAGATATTTGACTATAAAATGTTCTTATTATACAAAATAGGGCTAGTATTATTGAAATATGAAAATCAGTTGTGACTTGTCTGAATAATAATGATAGTGAGAAGGATTACCATGGCCCACCCATTTAATTTTGGGCTTTTTATATTACATTATTATATATTAGATAATTGCTAATAAAGAACGTTTTGTGCCAGCCCTGCAAAACTGCATCTACTTCAAATATCCAATTGATCTAAGAGTTTAAAAAAATAGACATTTTCTCTAACTTAATAGGGTGTTTGAAGCATACCCAGGTTAGCATGATTGGTGTTAAGGTTCTAATAGACAGATGATGATAGGCAATGTTATTGCAATTTCTTGTCCTCCTATTAAAGCCAATAACTCTTTAAGGGACATAAGTTTAAAGCAGTGAATGTGACATTTACCACATTTTCACTGTATGTGACTCTCTGGTAGATGCGGTATAAAATTAGAGAAACTGGTTAATCGCCTGTAAATATTTGGTGAATGTTGCATTTACTGCTTCACATATGCTACTAACTGTAGAAAGAACCTATAGGAAAATTGGCAATTTTACTTCAAGTACTTCAAATAGAAGAAAGTGATGTGAAAGGAGGAGGACACAATTATATACATTTCAATGTAGTGGGGCAGAGGAAGTGCCCAGCAGCTTGGCTCAGATGAAATGAAACACAAATGTGTAAGTCATAAATCTTACTCCCTTTAAGCAAACGATAAGACTTGATTAGTGATACATATAGCAACAAATTTAGCATAATTAATTGTAATAATAATAGTTGTAGTAGATAACTATAATTGTTTGTGTGCATTTAGACCAAGTAGTAATAAAAACTCAAGTGTTGACCAATTTAAATATCTGCTGAGAATCTTCTAAGCAGTCCACACCCAGAGGTGATTTTTCAACAAAGGGTGGCTGAAGTGACAGCCTAGCACAATTCATAAAAGACCTTTTAACACCTAGTTATTTATGCTGCTCCCTACCACTTAACATAAAAATGTCCCATGTTGCAATGTAGCAATAGATCCCTGCCAGGGGCGGACTGACCATTCGGAAACTCGGGCACTGCCCGAGGGCCCGGGGTCAGTAGGGGGCCCCATGAGATGCCCCTGGCACCTTTTTTCATAGGCTTTTTTGAGTTTGGGAAAGGACACAGGGGCCCCATGATCCCCTATTGCCCGGGGCCCCATGAGTTGTCAGTCTGCCCCTGATCCCTGCTGAATATTTTAACATGGCACAGAAACAGAAATAATAGCACACCTTAATTCACGTTCTGTATCTTTTAGTGAAACTAAGCTCAGGGTGAAAGCAGTTAGCCTGTAAGCTGGAAGCATGTATAAGGTGATTCTGAATCATACTAAAGGATGTCTTCCTATGCTGCCCTTGTAACTTTTTGTACCCTATGCACAGAGCCCTCTAATAATGCTAGCATGCAATATGTAAGGAGCTGATACAGTCCCTTATCTCAACAAAGCAGGCAAAGCTGATAAATGTGGCACTTGGTTAAGGAAGCAGATTGGCTACAACATGTACATTCTATTCATGAGTTTACATTCTGTATTTTTTCCTATGGTAATTCTAAATCCACATTCTAGTGTACAGTGTATTCATGCTTTCCATGACAATATGATCCACAAGCACATTAAAATATAAATTAGCATCTCATGGTTGTGAATGAAGTCGACTATGAACTTTACAATTTTCAAGTCACCTTTAGAATACCATGACCAAGACTAGCAATCACCGCATATAGGCTGTGTGCCACATGTTTCGGTGTAGTACTGTTTAACTTAAAATGGACATGGAACATTGAAAACAAACTACTAACGAAAAACGACTAAAAGAGAAAGACCATATTTACAGTTCCTGAATGATGTAGGACATTACAGTTCCTGAATGATGTAGGACATTCTACTTTTAAACTGTATGTCTAATATTTCAAGCAATGAGAGTCTCTTATTCGTACACTTCTGCTCTATTAAAGTAATTTAAAAGCTGTTTATTATATCTGTTTCCTAAGTGCAAAAGCACCTGTTGATCTTGTCATAAATTCAGAGCTGGGCTGTGTCCTCTGCATACTTCCTGTTACCTCAGTTCAATTAGCTCTCCCAGTTCTAATTTTGGTCTACAGAACAACTACTTGCTATGTCATGGAGATTATAGGAAGCATTCTGTAACTGAGCTAAAATGACAACTAGGCAGGGCTGACACACTTTCCTGTAATTTCAGTAAAAAAATCCTATGGAATTAAAGAGCTGAGTGCAATTTTGGTAGATCAGCAGGTATTTTTCTTTACTTACTGGGTCTTTATGTTGTTTAAAACGTGGGCAAATGTGCATGTACTGCAGAGATATACTGCATATTCTTTTTGTCATACTTTTGAACTTACCCCCCAAGTAAGGGTAGGTATCAATAATTGTATTATAAATATTGTATTGTTTTTATTTTCACACTACACTCTGCTTTACAAACTTTCCCATTCTAGAATGGGCACATGTTGCTAGTTGCATATAATTAAAAAGCTTAACATAGTTTTGGCTGTTGCTATTGTCTTATTAAAAAATGTGCTATAATCTGAATCCTTGTTGAAGATTTAATTTATTGATGCATTTATTGCCAATGATATTCAAAAAATATTGTGATGGCCTAAAATAACTGATATTTTTCATTGATAATTAATTGTAGTTTTAAATGAAAAATCGATAATGTATTAAGAAAATAAACATAAAATGTGGCAACTGCAAAAAATTGGTCATTGGCATTGTAAAGAACTTCAACAAGAGGCACAACATTGTTCAAGTTTATGTGTATAAAAAATAAATTAGCAATACAAGTAAAAATATCTACGAAAACAAATGTAGGTGCAATAGATATGTTAGCTTGTTATTGGAATAAAGGGTTAAGAAGAATGAATAGTTAATATCATATGCATTTATCAAACATGTAAAGTATGAGTCAGTCTTCAGTACACTTTTATGCACACATGGAAAAGCCTTATCATGTATATAAAAGCAACCTTAGAACTCCTAAAGTAGATGGGAGGTAATAATGCTTCTAATGAGTCTTCAAAGACTTTATACATACAGAATGGTGAAACGTGCCAGCAACTAAGGTGTTTTAAACAGCTTGTGTCCTGATTTTTTTTTCCTAAGCCCCACTTCTTGTTTCACACATAAACAGAACAGACATCCAGTTCTTGTCTACTTCATGGCTTTTAGTCTTAGTTCACGTAATAGAGCCAGTAGACAACGTTGAAGAATCCAAAAACCACAGGAAAGATCATGCGTGACCATCTGTCAATGGCATTTACATCAGTCAAGTCAGGTATGGTTATTTTCAACTGGGATGCACGTCTCCGTAGTCTGCTTTTTTTTTGTACCACATGTCGTTCTAAGGCATTGCGTCCAAAGCTATGCCTTGGTAATCCGGCTTTTCGGTACTGGATGCTGGAGGTGTCATAAGCTAGCATAGTGCTTCTTGGATCACCAAGACCCATAACAGCTTCTGATGCTGCCATCTCATTTTTAATTTCAAGTGTGCTCAGCAAAATATTTTCATGTGGATCCATCTGAGAAAGAATAAAAAGAAGAGTTATAACCTTTATACCTTCATATGTTGGTATCAATTTTCACATTTTAAAAATAACAAGATAATAAGTTTGTAAAAACACACTGAATGTATGAGCAAAGATAACAGTGGTTTCAGTAGAATGAAACAACTAACTTCAACCATATAAAGTAGCACAGAGGATAATATAATAGAATAACAATAGTATAATAGAATAAAGAATACTACTACTACTAATAATAATCTCATTTAATTAAATAATCTCTGAAATATTTTTCTGCTATATCTGCTGAAGTAGGGACTACAATTCAGGCAGATCCACTTGTAAGCCAACTGTACCAGAACATTAGTACGCTATGCACCAAAGCAGTGATCACAAGATTGGTGCTGTGGTATTTGGAGCAAGAGAGAGCATTTTTTTTGTTGAAAAAGTATTTAAAGCCTAACTCCTTGTTTTCTTTCCCTTGAATAAGCCAACCTAGCCCAAACAAACTATTCCTATTGAATATCTATGCAGCCACTGTGGGTAATGTAACATGTATACAGTATGCGGCACTGTATTCCATATCAGTACAGGCAACTGTCCACCTGCTACCAGAACTAAATAGAGTTTGACTGAATGCTTCCCTTCCACTCATAAGAAGCCATGTATTTTTACCCAGTCTTCCTGAACACAAGCCTTTCTTTTATTGGGCAAGGTGGAGAGGTGGGCAGATGACTTTACAAGAAGACACCCGTAATGCTGGAGAAAACAGTGTTGCATACTGTATGTAGCCAAGGCTGCTTCAGTATTTTACAGTGCACACAAGGGTTACATAGTTATGTAATGGAAATAATTTGTTTGGAGCAGCTTGGCCCAAACAAACTATTTAAAGTCATAGCAAACTTGGAATTCTACTTTAACTAAGTACTGTAGAATTTGTATTGTCAAAGGAACTGCATGGGTGAATTTCATCAGAGTGACCGTTTTGAGGAGCCAGATTAATCAGAATATACAGCCAGTGGCTATGACTAAAGTATTAAAAAGGCATACCTTATTAACTTCCATTCTCATTTGCTCATTGTTAGCACTGGCAGCTCTTTCTGCAGCCTTCTTTTGCCTCTGTGGTCCCCTACCAAAAAATATGTAGTTGACCAATGCATACTCCAATAATGCCATAAAAACGAACACAAAGCAACCCATAAGATACATATCAATGGCTTTCACATAGGGGATTTTAGGTAGTGTTTCTCGAAGGTGAGTGTTGATTGTTGTCATAGTGAGAACAGTTGTGATTCCTAAAAAAGTAAAATAGCACCAATTACATAATTATTTAAAAAAAAAAAGTTATGTAAATCTTCAGTTAGTAATTAGATTTTTTTTTGCTTTCCTAGTTTTTACCAATTATTACCTGAATATGCATATATGAAATCAATTAATAATTAGTACAGTACAATCACTACTTTTGCTACAGTCATTTACTGCTCAATGCTGCCTTTTTTTTTCTAGCAGAGCAATTAACTCTAAGAGATTTCTTAATCTGCACTGCACATTGCTCACAGAAATATAGTTTAGACTTGACAGAGTTTAATCGCATGATAAATATATGAATATCAGTGCTGGACCCAGAGGTGTATTGCTTGGAGCTGTCAACCTTTGACTCTCCTCAGCCCATCCTGGAGTATGGTAAATGCTAAATGTAAAGATTTGCAAAAAGTGAAATGCCCGCTGGCAGTCACATTTTCAATTAATTATGGTGTACACTCCATAGACATAATTTCTACTGAAATGTATCCACTTGGCACTAGCAGTTTGTAATTAACAGGTTTCTTGTCTAATGCATTGGACTCTGTTTAATTTATGGTATATTTTCAAATATTATTTTACAACATGTCAACACAAATAAATTCAGTTAAATAACTTGTAAATGTTATATGTGTAGCTACCACACTTAAAAATCATGAATAAATTATGTAAACAATAAAGGATGGAACACATTACTTCTGTGTGAAATCTGTATGCTATTTTACTCTCTTTCTTCCCGCTAAAGCCGATTATGCACAAGACAGTTTGGGCCCAGTCTTGCTATTGCAATATTCTATCTGAATTTTGGTATTTGAAGAAAAAAAAGCTAAGATAATAGAGTCATCATGTTCCTATGGTGACTAGCAACCATAATAGACCTCTAAATCAAGATCTCCCAGGAACCAATAATCACATAATATCCAATCATAGTTTACAAGTGAAGCACTTGAGTCAAGCTGATATTGGTTGGACAGCCATTGTAGGGATCCGAGATACCAAAAGAAAATTGGTTCACATAAAAATGATTTCAATGAAGTACAATGTCACATATCTGGGGATCATGGGCTCTCTCTGTAACCAGTGCGCCTAATGGTGGTATGCTCAGAGCAGACCCTTGCAGGTTACAGCTGACTTGGTACAGAGAAGCACTAGAGACAAGGATCTGGGAAACCACAGAATATACTGGTGTCACAGGAGGGCAGGAGTGCAGAGTTATTTTGCAGCACTGGGGTGCTGGAAGTACAGGAGGGCAGGAATACTAGCAGAAGTCACTTGCAGTACAGGGGCACTGGACTCACAGAAAGACAAGAAAGCAGAGGTCCATAGGAGTACTGGGTTGCTGGTCCTAACTGGAGCCCAGGGATGATGAGACGTACAGGAACGCAGAGGTGCAAAGGTGACCCAGGGGATGTAGAAATACTGGATACTGTTGTAGTGCACAAGGAGTCTAGGATAGACAGAATACCCATTGGTACCAGCGAGAGAACCAAGCACAGAGAGCAAAGGCAAGAGCCTGTAGAAGGGCTAAGGTGCAGTATCCAAGAAGCTCTTTTGTCTTCACAAGACCTCTTCTAGGTATAGAAGAAGACAATTCCCAGGTCCCAGCCCACTGAGTCACCTAAGCAAGCATATACTGGGGAATGAGTTCTGAAATGCAAGTAAACACCCCTTGCAATGCTGAGATCACCAGTTAGTACTGTATATAATACATCCCAAGCTGGGAGGAGTGCATAGAAACACACAGGTACACTGGGAGTGGTAAGGAGAGTCACAGGAATCACAAAAAGCTGCCTGGAGTGCATGGTAATAGAAAGTACACTAGCATATGGCTTCTGTGCATGGGGAAACAGAGCAGACTGCAGAATTACAAACTTTGGATGCCAGCAGCTGGTGTGCAATGGTGACCAACAACTGATGACACCACTGGTTGATAGGGAGGACCTCGGGCATCTAAACAGCATGCTTGTTTTCCCCTCCCTGCCCCCTCTCTTCGTGAACATTGGTGTTACATTAGAGAATAAGGGAGATAAACTGAGGGAAAAGATACATGTTGGAATACTAGTCAGTACCACTGTGCAAAGGTATATTTGCCTTGTAAGAATAAATCAACTCTGCTTTGTGTGTGGTACATGTGTGGATGTTGCTGCATTATGTGTGTTTTATTTTTTACATTTTAGAATGGGAGCCTCAACATTAAGCAGAATTTTAAAGGGTGTCTTGACTAAAAAAAGTTTGAGAAACACTGGTCTAGAATGCATTGGGTCACAGAACAGGCAACAAACACACAGATTAACTGGAGATAGGCTGGATGATACTGGGAACGCTGGAGGCAGAGAGATTATGCTAAAGGTCAATGGAAGGCAACATTGGGGACACTGTGGGTTGTATAGGGATACTCAGAAACTCAGGGTTACTAGGACTACTCAGAATCACATGGATGAAATCTCTGGGTTATTCAGAAGAAATATGGATACTCAGAGCCACACTGAAACACTAGGTGGGCCTGGTGCTAGGAACACTGACTGTTCAGGCAATGCTTGAAGGAATGAACCCAACTTAAGTAGAAAGGGAGATGACCTGCCTGGGCCTGGAATGGACATGTAGCTCATTGAATCAACAGTAGTTGAATTACATGCAGAGCCTTGCATGTTAAAGCTATAGAACTATAGCAAACAATTTATTTATAGGTTTGATAAACCTCCATTCAGACAATGGATTTGAGCGGCATCTTGTAGTGGTGTCAGATAGGAAACGGGTTTTTATCAACTACTTCTCCCCATTAATGTGGGTGGGAAGCAGTCCACTGTTTGGTCCCTATTACCCTTTTAAAACAGGGTGTTACTGTATGGAGCACAGAGCAGTCACATGACTGCTGCTGTGATCTGTGCACTAGGGAGTCCTTGTAAAGGACAGACTAATGTGTCATCTGTCAGTGGCCATCTTAATTCTGGCACTGAAATTCTGCAATATTTAGACATTTGGTGTGGCCGTGGTGGTGTGTATGTATATATATATATATATATATATATATATATATATATATATATATATATTATGTATATATATATATATATATATATATATGTATATATATATATATATATATATATCACATGCCATGCCATGCTATGCGGGTCCAATTCTGCATGGTAGAGAAAAGAGGTAACATCACGTGCAGCCTGCAGATTTGAGTAGGAACAGGATAGGCTTCCCATTGGAAGGAGTGAGTCAGTATCCTGTCGCATACCTTAAGCTGGCATGGAAAGAGTGAGTCAGTACCCTGTTGCATACCTTAAGCTGGCATGGGAATAAAGAAACCTTGTAAAGTGAATATGTAAGACTTCTCTGGACTGGACTCTTCCACCTCTTTCCTGGAGATGGAATATATGTCAATGCAGCACCCCCTCTTGTGTAGCAAGGGAAGTAAGAAAGTACAGCATGGGACTGTACTGTGTTATGTAAAACTGTTTATGAATGCCAGTATCTGGAATTGTTATCACCATCATTTGAAACTTATATAAAGAAGCATCCAAAAATACAATAATTCACCTCCTGCTTGTGCAGCATGATAGGGAGGTGGGACTACATAGGCCAAAGAACTATGAGTATTACCATGGAGATGAAACAATGGCAAGCAATCAGTTACGTATAGGAGTGGGTTGTCCCCAGGTGACTGTAGATCCTGCTGGTGGATGTGAACCCTGTGTACCTGGTTAGCTCTTTGTGAATTCCTTAAAGGATGACTGCAGTTAAAAAAATTATTTTGGATAAGCTTACTGTGCATCAACTGGCTGATAAAATAGCTTATTCTAGGAGGCATTTAAAATAGGTGGAAAGGGAAAGAATGGGCAAAAAACATTTTTCTTTTTACTAGATTTGTGTAAGGTGACACTCATTATATTTAGAAATAAACAAGCACTGATGTTTATTCCACATGCAAACTCTAATAATAATGGATTTACACTGACAATTTTTTTTCATTAAGCCAACAAGCATAGGGAGATGCTTACCTAAGGCAACCCGGGCAGCTGATGCATCATAGTTAATCCAGAAAGAAACCCATGACAGAATAGTGATCAAAATAGAGGGCATGTATGTCTGCAAGATGAAATAGCCGATGTTTCTTTTCAGTTTAAAGCTAAGAGACAATCTTGGATAGGAACCTGTAAAACAAAATAAAAGAATTCAGACATGATATGACTTTGAAAAATATTAGAACAATAAGCGTACCCCAGCCAATGACAGAGGTTGGTCAATGTTAACAGTGAGCTGTGAAACAGGCATTAGAACAAAGAAATACACCCACATCAAATATATACATAGATCTAAGAATATATGTACTTCAAGGGTGAAAATATAGGTGGTTTTCATGTGCTCTCTTTATTTTTTGCCTTTGAACACTGCAACAGGATTAGAGTGATTGGTCCATTGGATGTTAACGCTCTCTACAATCCTGAGATATGTATGCAGGTGGCACGTGCAATATGAGTTATTACGTTGTAAACCCTTACATATGAAATTAAGTGACTGGCCTCAGGTGATACACAGAGGTGAAACAAATCCTCCTACACAGGTTGTAGCTATTTATTTGCAGCCATTTATCCTTTATACCCTTTTAAAATTCAGAGATGAAAAGGATTATTCACAGACTCACAAAGCAGGGGTCAGGGAGCTGCAGTTACACACTGTACAAGAGCTCTGAGAGCTGATTGGAGGGAAAGGACACACCTCCCTTCACACAGCACACAGGAACAGGATCACAGCCACAGGTTGTGTGCTAGAGATCCCTCCCCTGTGAGCATTTTAGCTCTTAGAGCTGATTTAGACATGTGCGGTGCAGATTGAAGCTCAGGTTTCACAGCTAATTGACACAGTAGCTGTTCACAGGTTCACGTCAGGTTTACATAAGGTTCAGTGCAGGATTAGCACAGGATCTTATCCTATTCACACATATGCGGTTTAGGAACGGTTCCCATAGGGTTCAGGACAGGATTAGTACATTATCTTATCCTGTTCACACATATGCGGTTTAGGAACGGTTCCCATAGAAGTCAGTAGACTGTAATACGCACCTGAACCTGAAGCCACTACTCAGAAATTGGACAGGACTCTTTTTAAAACTGCTCTGAATCCGCACCGCCAGTGCACCAGACATATGTGAACAGGCACCCTAGGAAGCAATGTTATTTCAAATGTCATGCGGATTAGATACAGTTCAAACATCTGCACCCAATCCGCATATATGTGAACGGGCACTTAGGGGTTTATTTACTAAAGCTGGAGAGTCCTAAATCAGACTCCCTTCTGCATAGAAACCAATCAGCTTCTAACCTCAGCTTGTTCAATGAAGCTTTGGCAATGAAACCTGGAAGCTGATTGGTTTCTATGCAGAAGGGAGTCTGATTTTGGACTCTCCAGCTTTAGTAAATAAACCCCTTAGTGTCAGAAAAACTTGCCAGAAGAGACTCATGCTGAAGAATGAGACAGCATAGAGAAATGACATTTAGAGCTTTAGAAAGCAAGTAGACACTATAGAAATATGTGCTTTGTTTAGATTTAATGTCTGAGGTTTACAACCACTTTAACTCTCAGAAATTAATAAGGTTATCATTATCTGGGATGTGCAACCATATATACTGACCGGAAGAATCAATGAACTGCCACGGCGCTCCACAGCAGTGTGATATTTCATTGAGAACTCCAAGCTGACAGCCGCTAAGGCTTTCTGGACTAGTAGATTCTCATTCACAGAGGACTGTGAATGAGTGATATGGCTGGGCAAGCACAGCCACTTTTTTAAAACTTTTTTTTTTATTTGACAGCTAGTTGGTGGAGAAAAGATTACTGATGCTTACTGTCTAAGAAAATCACAAGTTAGCCTCTGGAGGGAAGGATAACTGTCAGTCTCTGCATTTTGACTGTGCTCATAGTACTTTGTACACAGAAGGTAGACTAGCAATGGTCACATGACCACCGTAAATACATAAGAAAATACATTTAGAAACAAAAATTCAGGGTATCCTCAATCAACATCTTTCTTACACTGTATTAACTTTGGCTTCACATATGCTTTTAGAGCTAGACTTTAACCTTACCTTTACTCTTGAAGTCTTATACAAGCTCCCCTTCTGTACTGAAATTACTGCATATTGTACCCTGTCCGTAGTATACATTGGAAGCTTTAGCAATTCAGAGAGTCTACCTCATTTCCCGGCTGGAGGACATTCATCATTTGCTAGCACTTTTCTCCTCAGCCTTAGTTTCCTTTGCCCACCAATTTCATTTATTAGATTTGAGATCTCTCATTCATAGCAACTCAGCATCATATTATATGCGGGGAACAGCAGTCAAATTAGGTTCCACTAACCTATCACTAAAATTGTATCAGTATGGTTAGCTTGAGTTAACCAAAAGTACCCTAGATAATTTCCCAAATTTATGATACTTAGAACCATCTAGTAAGAAAATGTGGTATATTCTGTTTGACAGCAATGAAAATCATTTGACCAGCACAGGAAAGAGCCTAATAACATTCATTTTTTGCCCCATTCACACAGAACAAATGTATATGCACTTTCACTGAGCAAACAGCAATGCAAATTTTATATACAGTATATATACATATACTCCTAAGTAACATTCAGTGTTATTTTGTTTAACATAGTATGTTGATCAGGACAAGACTATGGCCTCTATGTATACATAGTTTAAAGTGGAGCATTCACAATACATTTTAAGAAGACATGACCAGTTCACATACATATTTACTTACCAGTGGAAAATACAACATTTTTTGATAGGAGTTTGTAGTCTACAATGGAAAATTGTGGCAATTCAATTCTATCAACTCCTGTGACAGCATGGTTGCCCCCCCTCCAATAAAATTCAATGTCATCAGTTGTATAACCATCTGAAATAGAAACAAAAAACAGGGATAAGCAACTCTTATAAAAAATGACCAATAGCTATAATATTCAAAATAATAAAAACATAAATTGTATTACAACAGCAGCAAAGTTGGCCAAGTACTTAAAATACAACTTGAATAGCCATAGATTGGTATAGAAAGGTGATTGTGGCAAATAAATATCACTTCATTTTATTGCCATGTTGTGTACAAAAACTCCTGCATGAAGCAAATATTTTGTCTCTAAGACCCATTTACAATTGTGCAGTATGGCAATGCACATTAAATTTGCATTCACTCAATGCATGGCACTGCACCTGCTCTACGTGCAGTGCATTGGAATGCCATCCATTGCAAATGGCACCCCAATGCACTATACAGTAGTGCACAGTGCAAAGCACGCTACAGCACATCCCAATGCACATATTGGGTTCTATGTATTTTTTTTTATCCATTGTGTTTGTCAGCAGCCCATTCATGATGCATGGGCTGCCTTAACACACCACACTCATGTGTGTTAATGCTCCACAATGGATTGCTAAAGTGTGCATAAGTCTGACTATCATATTCCTTCTGTCTTGCTATCACAGAACTCCCTATGGGTCTCGCAAAGGGGTATATTTAAAAAAGCAAGTTCATTTAGACACATTTGCCCTTCTACACTACTATAATTCACCAGTAGGGAGGACCTTCCAGTTGGGGTCAAACATACATTTGACCCTAGCCCAACGTGTTCACAGTTCAGTGAGCCATTAAATAAACTGGATCTCCCATTTATTGGAACTCCCATTTATTGGAACTAATATCACTGTTCCTAAATGACCCATCTGGCTCAGTAGCACCACTGTCCTTAAGTGACAGATATCTGCTAGGCTTCTGTTTTAAAACACATTATGTGGGGATCATAGATAAAGCCATTCACCAAATATGATTATGACCGGAATTAGTGCGGTGGAGCTACATTTGTGGGGTCATGCTAAACGTGTGGAATATTGATTGATGCTGGATCAACATCACTGGACGATGTGATTGACAATGAATTTACATCATGGAATATTGTTTACCACCATCTGACAATGCTGACCTTCTGTCATGATGGTCCACCATTCAAAAATTTTGCTCTGCTGCACTACTATCATAAAATAACAGATCCCCAGTTGGTTAGTATTTGTATACAAACCAGTCAAAGTCATGACCACATTTGCTCAAAGACATCACAAAGGATCTCTGGCTGGTTTGTTCACGAACACCAGCAAGCCAGCTGGGGATCTGTAATTTAGCAGCAATAGCACTACCACTGAAACCAGCTTGCTGCTGGTTGTAAATAAACCAGCCAAGGATTTGTTTAGCGGAGGTAGTCCAACATCAACATCATTGGATGATGTAATTGATGATAGATTTACATGGGTACATTATTTACCTTTTTGATATAAATTTTATTAAAAGACTCATTCATTGTGTGTGCATGTGTACTTACATTTGATAATTTTTTACAATGTGTAGTAAGGGGTACTTATGTACCTTTTACTTTTTCACTGGGAAAGGTGGTTATCTGAGGGGCCACCCTTAATAAAAACTAGAAACTCCTTTTAATTATAAGTCCCTCCCACAAATCACCACATCCCTTTTGAGGGAAAGGATGTGGGGATGAGGCTCTTTTCTTGTGCAGCTGCCCCCTTTGAAACATACTCAATGTTGAAGGGCATGTGGCCTGCTGTTCAGAAGGAAGGCCACACACTCCCTTTTTTGGACACCCAGGCTGCATATCTGGATAAAGATCTAACATAAATTTTATAAGGATTCCACAATTCCCATTGGCAGGTATTCTTTTTGCATTGACCTCCTATGCTAGAGCCCATCTACCTGAGCCCTTTATAAGAAAAGCCTGCACAATAGCCTTTAAAAAAGGTTAGAAAAAAATAGAAAGCTTCAGCTCCTATATACGTTAGTAGGGTTCAGAGATTGGCTCAGGGTTCAAGACTTCCCAATGGATTCACCGAACCTCCTGTGAACTGAAGCTTTCCTGGTTTGATCATCAATATATACTGTACATTAATTGCTCTTCCCATTTGGGTAAGCTCTATACTTTCCTGACAGTGAGTGAAAACCATCATTTTAAGGCTATTTTGTTTTATCTTCTGTGCATCAAATGAACAGCAAATATATGAGATAGTGAGAGCGCAGACATACTGTAAGTAGTTTTAGGCATGGTGGTTATTCCATTAGAACCAGTGGATGTATCCAAATTATGAATGTCACATTCAGGCCAGGGCCATTGGCTTTAGGATTGTCTTATTTATAATAGTATTGAAACTTTGGTTGCCCAATGAAGATTAGAATGTTTGGCGAATGGGATTTGGATGGCTATTGAGGATAATAACAGTAAATGACTAAATTGTAATTAATGGTGAAAAGTGCAGAATAAATTGCAAATGAGTGGTGAACTGATCAGTCTTTACTTAATAAATTTGAACCTTAGAGGTTCTTTTTATATTGTTGGGTTAAAGGCTAAAGTGCATTTACTATTTTTTTGCATTGAAAAAGCAATGAATCCATGATCAGCAGTCTGCAGGTGCAATGCCAGGATCCTGCAGACTCTCAGTAAGCTGCCAGCTACACTGTTTTGAAATTGTGACAACGGGACTGGGGAAAAGATCCCCCACACACCAGCTGTCACAGAGAGGGGAGTGCTGGTGGGGGGAGGTGGGTGTATAGGAGCATGTAAAATGTTACACCCTAAATATGGGTGTAACATGCTCCTAAAGTTGAACTTATCCTTTAACCAAAAGTGTGAATGGAGTCAAAATAACATGATGCGCCCCCCATGCTCACACAAACACACACACAATCCACATCTGGTGGCATTGTTCTATAAAGAAGATTTATCATTAACACTGTTAGGGCACATGTCGGCAATACCAAAGTCCTTACTTTGAGAAAAAAAGTGCCTTATCCTTGCCATGTACAGACAAATTTCCACTGATAGATGTAGAGTGGAAAAAGTGTACCAGGAAGGAACAACCAAAAAGCAGAGTTTACATACTGTGTTTAATGTGAGAACAATCTATTTCTAAATGCAGACTATAAAAAGAACAGGTTTTTAGAAGATTGATACACTCTGACAAGATATGATAATTAAGCTGATAGCTTTCACATGAAAATGTTAAAGAAAAAAAACAAAACAACCATAACAGACATGCAAAGCTCTTAACACATTTCATTGCATATACTAAAGATAGCTCTTTTATTTATTTTTAACTGCACTGCTTACATTTCCTACAAACCAATTAAAGAGCTAATTTTAACATTAGGACACCTGCCTTTACACACACATGAACTTTAATGGAATGGCCCACCCTTTGCAGCTATAACAGCTTCAACTCTTCTGGAAAGTCTGTCCAGAAGGTTTAGGAGTGTGTCTATGGGAATGTTTGACCATTCTTCCAGAGCGCATTTGTGAGGTCAGGCACTGATGTAGGAGGAGGAGGCCTGGCTTGCTGTCTCCGCTTTAATTATTTGCAAAGGTGTTCTATTGGGTTGAAGTCAGGACTCTGTGCAGGCCACTCAAGTTCCTCCACCCCAAATTTGCTCAGCCATGTCTTTTTGGACCTTGCTTTGTGCGCTGGTACACAGTCATGTTGGAAAAGGAAAGGGCCATTCCCAAACTGTTCCCTCAAAGTTGGGAGCATGAAGTTGTCCAAAATTTCTTGGTATGCTGACGCCTTAAGTGTTCCCTTCATTGGAACTAAGGGGCCAAGCTCAACCCCTGAAAAACAACCCCACACCCACACCATAACCCCTCCTCCACCAAAGTTTACACTTGGTAAAATGCAGTCAGGCAAGTACCGTTCTCCTGGCAACCACCAAGCCCAGACATGTCCATCAGATTGCCAGACAGAGAAGTGCGATTCGTCACTCCAGAGAACATGTCTTCACTGTTCTAGAGTCCAGTGGCAGCGCACTTTACACCACTGCATCCAAAGCTTTGCATTGCACTTGCTGATGGATGTAGGGCTTGGATGCAGCTACTCGGCCATGGAAAGCCATCCATGAAGCTCTCTACACACTGTTGTGCTAATCTGAAGTTTGGAGGTCTTTAGCTATTTACTCTGCAAACAGGGGGCAACTTCTGTACTGACTCAACTACAGAGTTGACAGCATTTTACGTGGCAGAGTTGTTTTTGTTCCTAGTTTCTTCCACGTTGTTATAATACCACTAACAGTGGAATATATAGTAGCAAGGAAATTTCAAGAATGAACTCGGTGGCAACCTCTCATGGTACCATGCTTGAATTCACTGAGCTCCTGAGAGTGACCCATTCTTTCACAAATGTTTGCAGAAGCAGTCTGCATGCCTAGGTGCTTGATTTTATACACCTGTGGCCATGGAGGTGGAATGCCTGAATCCAATAATTTGGAGGGGTGGCCCAATATTTTTGGCAATATAGTGTATTTATATTTCCAGTGTCACTTTTGACACTTTTCTCCTAAATGAAGTGAAAAAATATCAGTGTTTATGTATATCAGTATTTGTTTTCTAAATTGAAAAAAGAATCTGCTGTAAAGATTTTTACATGGCAAATATTTAAATGGTCAAATTAACTGCAATGCAGTTAGTCAACAGTGAGGTCATTTTACCATTACTAGAAATATGTAGTTAGTCATCCAAGCCTATTGAATATGCAATCTTTACTTGTCAGGCTCTGACCAGTAAAGTGTAAAATGAATGTACTCTAAGATATAGCTATTACAAAAAACACCTATGCTATTATAGCATTAGTTGACCTGAAATAGTCAAAGGAACAATAATAAATGCAAATAAAAAAGGCATGTATATTCAACTGAACAGCCAGAAAAACTACAAGTGTTTGAAGATGGCAATCGCCAGTGAAGTTGGCAAGTTGGAGCAGTGTGTTTAGAAAAGCCTGTCAGCTTCCTGTGACTGAGTGAGTTGCTATAGCAACCAAACATGACTCACAAGGCAGCTGAGTCACCAAGTTGAAATGC